TCCCTAATTCATGCAAGTGATTTAGATGTTCTCTGGGCAAAACAGTCACGAAATTTCGAGGTTTCTTTCTATATAAGGAAGAGACGAAACAGAATGTAGATCAGCTTTCTGCCGAATTATATTCCTCAAATCACTGTCTGTTATGGACTCATCAACTGCTGACGTCACATATCTAAATTTAGATCGGAGTGATGATATTCGCATTTCTGTTAGTTGTAGTAATCCAATGAAATAATTTCACACATATATTTTGTCAGCAACAATCGAAATCTCTTTACTACGTAGTTGTCTTTACACTTCTGTTTAACTTCATAATGGAATCATCAATACCCTTTCGAGTGACTGTATTAGTATGCATCTCCAGAGGTGTTCAATCATCGTTAGAGAATCCATGACGACTTTTGACCGCTGTGTAGAACACTCTCTCCGATTTCACTCAGTCGATCAAGAATGGCATCAATGTAGCTGAGAGCGTGGGTTCGTAGAAAGCAAGATATGTGGTTTCGTCTGAAGAAGATGTTCAACTCCACTCAATACTAGATGTGATATATTCTTCAAATCACTCACTCGCAAAGTGGCTGGTAGAGACTGTTGAACTAGCTAAGCAGAAGCTGTTGAGATACAATTCGTCAGTTTTCTCGATTCAGTCAAGAACGTCAAACCGCTACTCATATATATATATATATATATATATATATATATATATGGAACCAATTTTCAGTCTCACATTTCCATCCAGATGAATTTCATGAATGGGTCAGTCCTAATACGCAGACAAGCTAATAATGTGGCAGACGGACTTCTAAACAGTCTCGAGCGTTCACAAAGCACGTGGATAACATAGAGTGGTGAGCCGTATCTCAAGTTTTCACCACCGGCGTTTGGATGTTTTCAAGTGTCACCTCCTGGGAGTGATATATTTTGTTTGCTATTAGCATCATTGTTCCCTTGGCTTCCAAGTGTTGATGAAAATAGGCTATTCATGACTCACTGGCCTAGTTTCAGACCCACATAGAAGGACCAACTGACAGAAAAACTTAACATTATTGTTGAAAATCCTCATCTTAATCTCTGTGCTCAGAAGGAGTGCGAATGACTCTCGAATTGATTTTAGTGTGAGGATGAGGGTCTGTCATATATTTTTGATCAGATTTCGCTTTGACATCTTCATTCGTTCTGTCTGCCTATAGTCAAAGTGATGGTGTGTATAAGTAAGGGATGAGATATATTCCTAATTTATTCCGCTGAGATTGATTGGTGCTTGTTGTTGGTGTTGGCTGGTTGTTTGTATATCTGATTGGTTAGTTGCTTTCATCGTTGTTTGCTTAGGTTCTTCCTCAGCACTTCTTCTGTGTTAACTTTACGTCTTCTATGCGCTGATTGATTCTTCTGCTAGTGTGTTGGTCTTCGTATGTCAAATCTCAGTGACGTGTCTTATATGTCTGATGCATATAAGACAATAGTGTTGAGCATTTTCGTCTCAGAATTTGACCTTATATTCTAGAATAAATCAACCTTACTCTTTCAAACTTGATAAACTTCATCCATATTTCAATGCATGAGGCTGTTAATCTCTGGTTCCTCTGACCACTGGAATTTCCTGAATTCCTCACGACTTGTTTGTGGTTTCCAATTTCCACATTTTCAATATTGTTACTTTGTGTTTCTTTTTCGACTTCAATTTCACTGCCTCATTTCATTTGAAATTATCGGTATAAGCTGAAATGAATAGTCGCCATCAACTGTAGGTAATGACGTTGTTTGAAATAGGCTTGTGTTCACCTAGAGCTGATTCAAATAGCGTGAAAGAAAACAACACACTATATTCGTACCGTCATCACTGCTGGAAGCAAAGGTATATTCAACGAGAACCTTGATCACTGTCCACTTTAACAGTGGCTGATTTCTGCTTCCCACTCAACCGATATATCAATATATCAATCGGTTTCCGAGTGGAACATGGAGCTTGAGCAACACATCTCCACTCTGTTCTGTCTTCTGTCGTCCTATTCAGCTGGGACCACGATTGACCATAATCTGTCATCTCTTGCTCGTACGACATCCTCCATAACACTCTAGGACGACTCACTTGTCGCTCCTCATTTGGATTCCCCTTGACCGATGGCCTTGCGTTTGATGTTATTCGACGGTCTCCTCAGTGTATGCCGGATCCTTGATAAAGGCATCAAGCCTGTGCACTGTGGTAGAGTTTAATTCTATTATGGGTGAAATGCATTTTCAAAACGTCTTGCAGTGTTATACAGTAGTATATACTGATGACGTTTCGAGCACAATTTATCATATGAAGACATTGCTCACATAACTTTCTAACTTCGTTTATATGATTCCATTATTTTGCACCGCTTGATTTGTTTGGTAGTAGTAATTTCCATAATTCTATTATGATTGACGAGTCATTGCATCCTATTATACATGATGAGCGTAGACTTGATGAACAAGAATTCAGTAATCAACTTCTCTCTCCACCTACCTAGATTACTTCACAGAATTTTAACCTTCTCCTACCCTATTGTTTGGTTGTGAGTTAATGCATGCATTCAGTGGAATTCCTGAGCCTTTTTTAATTTACCTTTCTTCTAGGGGTCAACGATTCTTACCTTATCTAAATTCTTATCTTACGACAATCTGACTACGTTCGATCTACTAGTTTGACCTGTGCAATTGACACAACTCACAGGCATTGCAATATATTTTGTAAACTATAATATGCTGTCTAATTGGTTCAACCAAAAAGGTCGTTTAACCTACACAGCTTGTCCCTGAGTGACTGTGTAGGTTTAAATGTCACTGTTATTCCTGCTTTATTAGGAATCCTACGTAGGGTCTGAAATGTCCCCTTCTTATATGGTATACCAT